AAGGCGAACGACGTGGAAAGAAGTGCTCGTCGGACCCTCAGAACCTGCCATGGTGAGAAAGCTGATCAGCTTGCGAACCCGCTGATTGCAGCCTGATTGTCCTCATTAGAGCCGTTGAAATGCCAAGTCAGGCCCCGGTCCCGGCCCGCGAGGTCCTGAGATGTCGAAGCAGTTCCAACCCCGCTCCCTGCCTCCTGATCCTCACCATCGTCCGTCACCCCGACCCCCCAACCGACCCGACTCCGTGGACCCCCCAAACCACTCTCCCTGGAACGAAGCATTTATAAGTGGAAGAAAACCACCCACCAATGGTGCTTCCTTTCAGCCTGGCTGAGCGCGGGGGCCATCCACCCACCCCTCCTGTGAGCTCAACTCCACACCTGGGCTTCGCCCGGCCTTCCGTGGGTCGGCCGTGGAGCAGAGCTCGAGGTCATGACCTGGGGGGGCCTGCGTGGAGCGGTCGGCCTTGCGCTGGTGTTGTCCATGCGGGAGTTGCTGATGCAGCAGGGCAAGCAGGAGACGGCACGGCTCATGGCACCTGGGACGGCAGGGGCGACGGCGGCAGGGGCGACGGGAGGTTCGGAGGAGGACGGCACCGCCGGGGCGGGGGCGGAGGAGTTGAAGCGAACAGAGCGGAGCGCGCTGGACTTGGATAGATGAGGATGACATGAGAGGTGAAGAAGCGGGGGCGAAACTGAAGGTCAGACCGTAAGACCTCTTCTCCCAATATTTGGATGTATTTAGTAGTTGTGGATTCGTCGCGGCCGCGGCAGGTCTTCTTTGTCTCGGGCTTTGCTGCCCTCACATTGTTGGTGAATGCCACAACCTGCAGTTTGCTCTTGAAGTGCTTGGGTCTCACAAAGACGCCTGAGGCTGGGGGCTGGGGCTGAGATTGAAACAACTGCAACCGAAACTGAATTGAGAAGGTTCTGAAGGATCTGGCTCGGGCCAGGTGTGCCATCAGCAGGTGAATGGTCGAGTCGGGACTTATATAGTTGCTCCAGGCTTTCAGGTATGAATCAGGTATGATTATGATGGCTCCACCGCCGCCGCCACCCCACCCAAAATGGATCAAACTGGACAGGCTCAGAGTGCAATCCTGGAGCGTCTTCGTCATGAACTGCTACTTGACACAACCACCAGGCGTCATGAAAGACTTCATGCTCAGATCCCAAGAGCTGCGTAGACTCAAAGATGTTCCGAAGCAAGGCCCAAGACGTCCCCCCAAATCAGCTGCCTTCGTTTCGAACCTGGCCCAGCTGCCAAACCGAGGTTTGTGGTGTCTCGAAGAGCCTTCACCGATTCACTCGACTGCGATGGCCGTTTCAAGGCGGTGAAGGAGAGTCTCAGCTGGCATTGGCCTGGCTGGGTCGTCCACCGGTGGGGGGGTTCACGCCAAGAAGGAACATCATGATGGATCCGACGCCGACCTCGGTGAACCTTGCAGGGCGAGCTCCAGGGTGAACAGTTTTGTTGACAAAACACAAAGTGCGGACGGCAAGCGGTGCGGCGCTATTCCCAGAGCAAGGATCATTTGTTGTTTAAAAAACCCAACTTTTTGGCACCGTTTTGTTCTTCCATGCCCTGTCATGCGGGGGTGGCTCAAGAACGGTTTTGCCAAGGAGGACTCGCCCAAAAAACATGGATCGTTCGTGTCAAGTGTGCTCACAGAGCCACCCCCCCCTTGTGGTCTCGCCGCCTAGGGCCAAGATCTTTCGCCATGAACATGACTAGTGACTAGTCTTTTTTTGAGAGCCAAGGCGTGAAATCAATCACATGCTGGAGCACTTGAACGCAGAGTTGGACGAACCACATGAGGACACTGCCAGACGTCGACCAGAGTTGACATGGTTCAGCCGATCTGTGAGTTGACCTATGAGTCGACCAAGCTGAGGAGATGGTGGACCATCAGCCGTTACCAGTGGCTCGAATCTAGTGTCACAATCGTAGTCCTTATATGCCTTACATATACGTGTCACATAGCCGTGTAAGTGAACATCGGGAGGAACACAGAAAATATTGCCAGGAGGTATTATTGCCAGATGAGATAGATGACCGAAACACATGCCTTGGAGCCCATGAGGTCCGACGAACGCAGGCTTTTTCGCACGCAGCTAAGTGACGGACCCCAGGAGTGGAGCATGAAACTGATTGGTGCTGGGAGATGGACCCTTTCAGGCCGGGAACTCCAGATGTTGGGGAGATTTCAAGATGTCTTTCAACATCTCGAAATCAGACATGACATCTTAGACATGGATGGACACAAGGAGAGAGGCTTCTGAACTTTTCTTGGTGGCTTCAGAATTTGCGGTCTTCGAGTTGTTTCCAGATTTGAGGTGCATTTGTTTTGGTGCCGCATGCGCGAACCAGTCCAGTTTTTCTTGCATGGTCACCGTTTTTTTCGCTGGTCGGTTGGGTGTTTTGGGTAAAGCCTCGGCGGTACGTCCAGTGCAGGCCTCACCGTGTCCAACAACATCAACCCCTTTGCGGTACGTCCAGCCCCCGAAGGCTCGGGAAAGGCAAAGGGGAGGAACCCAGGCTGGCTTGGCTGGTATGTCCAGCCCCTCGACATGTGTCAGAAAACTGGAAGATCTTCTGCAGAAGGTGTGTGTTTTTTTAAGCATCTACCCACCGGAACAGCAATTTCGCAACTTCTTGCCCAGGTGAACGTCATCGCAACTGCATTGAACCGATGGCAACTGCTCTTGACTGGACGCCCCTTTCCGATCCCAAAGAGCGAAGGACAATTCCGGACGTTGGGTGACGAATGCGACCAAATGCCCTGCCTAGCAGAAGTCCAGGTGCAGAGCCCGAGAAGCAAGAAGAGAAGCCAGAGGAGAAGCCAGAGGAGAAGCAAGACAAAGGTTCCCAAGACGCAACCAGTTCCAGTAGCTCTGCCAGCTCTGCTTCTGATGCTTCTTCCTGCTCTCTCTTAAAGGCCCCCACTCTAGGGGCCTTCTTCGTGGGGCGCCAGCGTCACGTGCAGCGCTCGTGAGGCCGAACGTCAGCGCTCGGTGCGGCACCACCACGGCGCTCAAGTATACAAGCATGGGCCACTGAGCTGAGGATTATTGCTTGAACATGCGAAAGCCAGGGCATCAAGGCATCAAGCCAGCGGAGAGGCGGCTTTTGGGTCGGAACACATCCAAGGGGTTCTCTAGAAATACCGTGGGAAAGACGTTGCGGGGGGATGTGTGGTGAGGTGTGTGCATTTGGGTACTGTGTGGGGAGCCATCATATTTCGGCCCAATCGGCTCAGGTTTTGCAGGTGGGCATTGCAAAACACGGTCTTTGAGAGGGTCTTGGTGTGTTCTGTTTGCAATTTCTTGGGAGATGTGGTTGAGTCGAAGGTAAAAAATGTTCCCAATTTTTATGGGGTGTTTTAAAGCTTGCAGACACGACATGCGGCGGAGCTTTTGGGATTGCACCTCATGCGGGAGGGGTTCTGCAACCTCAAGAAGACACGGCCGCAATTCATAATTTCACTCAAAAGAAAGCCAAAAAGTCATTCGAAGTGTTGCGCGGCTTCCTCCTGTGTGTAACAACACACTTTGTTTTGCCGTTTTTACCTTTTTTTAAAGCTTACCGCGCCTGGCTTTTTGCAAGTGACGCCTGCGTACTGGTGTGTCCAATTTTCACAACCGCCTGAGGGCTGAGCCCCAAGAGTATATTGTGCCTAGGGTGGCAGTAAAGCCAGGCACTTTGGAATGGTTGGAATGCTCCGTTTATAGATTGGTGCTTCTGAAAAAGCTCCTGATGGACTCGCATTTGGCTTTCGTTCCCTCCCTTCTCAGTTTACAGGTCCGAAGACTAGAACTACGTTTCAAGCAAGATATCGAAGCTATAGGCCTTTAGGATCTTTAGGCCAAACTTTTTTTTTTGTTGTGAATGACAAAAACAATGACTTTCAAGCAAGCTGCACGTGATTATGCGAGCTGTTGCTTAGTCGTATGTCTCCTGATGCTTTTAAGCTTAGTCGTATGTCTTCGGACATGCTCACATGCTCCCAACGTGTGACCTTTTTCTGTGTTAGGCTGCCAAGCTTATGGACATGCTATATGGGTTCATTCGGTCCAGGGAATCCGAGGTTGGCCAGTCGTACAAACCATTATACATCAGGAAGCTGTGCCGCGCCTCGATCAGGCACACCTAGAATCCCACATCTTGGGTCTTCGCCACGCTTTTCGCCACCAGCTATCATCCTTTTTTGCATGGTCGGACCGTTGGTTTCTTGTGACTTTTTCAGTTCGCAAGTGGTCAAGTGGTGTTGGGGAATCACCTGGAAAACACCCAATCCCCCAATCTCCATGGACATCATCCCATTGGTTGCATTTTAAGCGGGTTCCCAAGGACCACCACTGGTGGTGGGGCTTTGAGGAGATCAAAGTGGTGTCTTGGCGCGACGAATCAAGCGACAAAAAAAGAACGACCGGGTAGGTGCTGAGGTCGACCGAGAGGTTGCCCCAGTGAAAAACATATTTTATTTTTGCGAAATCAGATATATATGTATATATAAAGGGCTGACGCCCTGGTGCCGCCGACCCTTATTTTCCAGGAGCAAGCTACAAGTGCCCACCTTGTGTACTGAATAGGCAATTGGGCTCTCAGGGGATTTGGCGGGTTTGATCTGGTGGCGAGACCGAGCGTTGCCTATCAAGGACCGTGAGGCCACCTGGACTAGACAGACGAGCCAAGAGAGGCCGTTTTTGGATCTGAGCACGGAGCAAGATGAAGGAATTCATTCGGCGTCAGATGGGAAGCACTACTTGCAACAGATGGTTACTGTATTTATTGACCAACTCCAAAACCATAATTACCTCCCACCTATGATCCTCTATGCATCACTATGAAGTATAGGATTCTGCTATACTTGATCGGGTCGGAAGAACATGGGCTGGGCTCTTCCCCCGATCGATCTACATCCACAGTGACCTAAACCCTGTCCAGGCAAGCTGGGCAAGCTGCGCCGGGGTCCCATCAGGAGACTAGACATGATTGATCGATCATCAAAAGAAACGTGTGTTTCCTGGGTGGTGGTTTCAGACATTTGTATCTTCCATCTCCGTTTCTTTTTCGATGATTCTTCACCCACTGACTCATGTGTTTCGTGAGTTGAAACCACCTAGTAGTTGGACATGGCAACATGATGCAACATACTTTTGACTCTGAAAGACCGAATCTTACCCAGACTTGCCCCTGAAAGACTCTGAAGAGGAGCGGGAGGTCTTTCGGAAGCTCTTTATGTCCATGTTGCGTCTCTTGGAGAATTCCAAGGGTTTCTGAGGAGGGTGAATATTATGATTGATGATCATTCGAGAGTTGCAAAGAACTGTTAGAAGATCCAACTGTTTTGATGGAACATGATCGAACTAACACATTCTGGACGTTTTTTGTTCTTTTTTCCGCTTTGCTTTAGTATTTTTTCCAATGTCTTTTTCCTTTTCCTTGGAGACATGTCACATGTCAAAGGTGCCGAGTATGTGCGGCTGATGGATGTGGGAATGCTTCCAAGACGAGCTTCAGGAGATACGTATGTGTGGTGTTGGTTTGACAAAGTCTGCTTCTTGGAAAGGTGTTCTTCCCTTTCAAAGTCTTCATTCCAATTGATTCAGCAAACTCTATCCCTGTCTATATTTCTTTTTCGAGAATTCAAGGAATTGATGTTTTGAATTCCTGCTGAAACTGTGGGGTCTGTGCTGTTTTTGTCCTCGGACTGGGGCTCTCATGTTTGGGTTCATCGGCTGAGCAAAGGAACCACGCCATCTATGCTGAGTTTTATGTAATATGTCACATGTCAATGTGACCCTCCTGCAGATTCACCACTTCACATGGACTCTCAAAACCACTGGGTGTTTTTAGAGGAAGGAACATCACCGCCGTCTCCTTTTGGAGGTCCATGTTGGTCTACCGGGGTCGTTTGTTCTTTTCGGCTTGGGCGCAGGCGCTGAGCACCTCTTGGCGTCGGTGGATGCTGCGGACGACTGGGCGGCCGTGCGTTTGAACGTGCCGTAGTCAACGGGTGTTTCCAACGGGTGGGGCCTGAGGTTTGGTGGGAGGAGTCTTGGGAGGAGTTTGGTGCACGAATTGGAACTTTTTTTAAAGAGATATTTTGGAGCCGTAGTTTTTCAAGCAACAGGATTGACAGAGAAAACACTCTCTTGGTCTTTCCGCAGGCAATCTGATTGGAATGATTCAGAGTCGTTTCGGGCCATGCCCTCGCTCTCCGGCCTAGGATTGGACGATCTTGGAAAAGAAACTCCCACGTCGCAGCTTGGCGTGTTGGATTGAGCATCAGAGTTTCGCAGATCCCGGGTGCATAGAAAATCATTTAGAGATGGCAGCAAGTTCCTGGCCACTAAGGAGCAAGCTGGATACGAGTCAAGGCAATGCGTCTCGAGTTTGGCATTGCTATTCTGTTTTTTGAATTGGCAAAGGAGGCTTTGGCGTCTATTTTCGATTGTCCTTGTGATTTCCACAGATGCTTTGTTGGGCCATCGATGGTGAGCGCTGCATGTCACAGGTGCGCGAGATGCTCTCACCATGCTTTGTGAGCCTTCTTCGCATCCAGTCGTATTGTCATCATAGAGACAGAGACTTCTAGTTTCTGGCTACAAGATTCCCAACAACAGTTATATATATAGAGGAAGCATGTACCTCACGCAGTGGGTTTCTCGATTTACTTCCGAAGCTCAGGTTTTGCCCTGTTGAGATTAATGGAGGTTCACATTTCTTTGATCTCTTCACTGTGGTGGCCTTCATCGACGCGCATCACACAGCTTCTTTGCGCTGTATGCTTAGCTGTAGATTTTCTTGGTCTTTTGTGGACTCCCATTCAGACGATTTTCCCATGACTTCTTCGCGCATGGTCCACCTGTTTTTCACTTTGTGTTGTGCCCACCATCCAGCACAAAGAGTCACGTCAATGTTTTGGTTTGTTTGTTTGTCTCTTCTTTTGAAGACGTGCTAGTAGCTGAGTCGTGCCACTTCCGAATCCACATCTCTACGAGACTTGTGACAAACTGCAGGTTTGTCATGGACTACTGCAGAGTGACTGGTTCTCCACGGATGCTCGTAGCGACGTCATCGAGGAGTCGCTGGCAGATGCTTGGGTAGCAGGCCACCAGCTGCCAGCTGTAAATGCGTTGAAAGACTCTCTTCTCGCTTCCTTTGATGCCAATTGAGCCGATAGATGCTGGAGAAGAAAGATACTTTGCTTATCTTTGCTTGTGGCAAGCTATTTAAGACATACTCTTTGGGTCAAGGTGGCACCTTCGAAACTGAGGAACTTGAAGCTGCTCGATCCTTTGTCGCACTGGCTCCCTTTACAAAAATTTGATCTCAGATTCAAGTCATTCACACCTGACCTGATTCACACCTGACCTGATTCACACCTGACCTGATTCATTCACACTGACCTGCATATTCTTTTGGGTGCTACATGTGAGACCAAGGAAAGTTTCTCAAAGAGAATCGTGCATGCCTCAGTTCCGTGACGAAAGCAAGACACTTAGACCACCGATGAACTCAGATGTTCTGACGTGGGGTGTCTGCACCACGTGTGGTGTGACGCAAGGCGTTGGAGAGCGGGACATCAGCAAAGTGCATGCCTCAGTCCAACCAGAGGATGTCTACACAAACACATTTTTTCCCTGACATGACCAAGACCCAGACCTGCAGATTAGGCCATTTAGCATGGAAGTCAGGCTGACAGTTGGCCTCAGCTGGCCCTGACACGATCTGAAATGTCACATGCGAAGTCCGCCGAATGCACCGCAAGCAAAGTCGCCTGGGGAGCCGCTGACGGTCGGAGCCGATGTTCGCACGCTCGGATTGTGCCGTGGTCTCCAGGTTCGTACGCTACAGCTGGCCAGCATGCTCTTCCAGACGCAGCAGGATGCATTTGGTCATCATTTGGCCATCATTTGTGGATTTTGGGACATGGCCATCATGCTGGTCATCATTTTGACTGGTATTCAGGGCATGCGGGTGCTTTTGTTTTTTTGGGGGGGACTATGTCCAGCACGTTTGATGTTTGACGACGTTGGTGCATGACATTTTTGTTTTGTGTGTGTGCCTTGCAAAAACAAGAGGATCAAGACATTCTCTTCACGTCATGAGTGTCGTTGCCCTCTTGCAGCCTTCAAGTTATGAGTCGCAGGATCAAGTGGAGAAGTGGAAGCAACAGGGTCTTTGGTCAGCAATTTCTTTTTGACCAACTGCACTGCCTAACTGCCTAACCACTGTTTTGAAGCTGGCTACCACATATAGAACCTGGCCAACCATGGACGTAGTCGCAACAAGAAGCTGCCACCATCGAGTCCTTTTTGTGCAGCTGGAAGTGACTTCACCGGTCCTTCTCGACCATCTCACTCAGCCTCTCCAAGTGTTCCTTGCACCCGTAAAGAAGGGGAGATGCGTCGACCGAAAGTCCATGGCTTCGTCAATGGGGTGATGAAGTTTTCCCCGGCATTTGTCAGATCCTCCCGCTCCATCTGATACGCCCTTGTTCGCCCTTTTTCGATCCAGGTATCATTTCGGCGAAGGAAATGGAGGCAGGAAGCTGAGCTGCTTCTGCCACCCGAGTTACGCGGTTTTTCCCCCGCCTGGTTCGAGGCTGCCACGTCCGGTCGCCTTGGCCCGTTAGGAGTTGCTCCACCTGGTGAAGCACGGCCTGGACCGGTCGGAAATGATCTTGAAGAAACAGGCGGGTGGCGGGTGCCCCAAAGAACCTCACGAGAAAAGACCATCAAACCGCTTGTTTGGGTCATGTCAAGCCCGTTCATGGTTTTCACTTAACACAAGCGCTCAATTTGGTGCTTTGTGCGACCGCCGGTGTCTTTGAAGACCGCCACAGAGGATCGTCATGTGACATGGCCGTTTGTCTTTTCCGGCCATGGGATGGGCGGAATCGAAATCGATGTACACGCGAAAGGAAGACATAGCGATGAAGGAAAGCCCTTCTCGGAATGAGTTCTGCCATTTGCTGCATGAGGTTCTCGGAGATGAAGAGGCTGCGGCTATGTTGGGTTATGTCACATTCTGTCGTAGTTTTTCAGTCGTCAACATTCACTTGAGGATCTGGAGGGGGGTTCTGACAGTGACATCCACAGACACGCTCACCAAGGTTTGTGGAGTTTTCGGTCCCGAAAATCCGGACGAACCATGGGTAGTGCGATGCATCTAAAGGCTCTCAAGTGAAATCCCCCAAACATGGGGTAGTGATGCATCTAAAACAAGTGCACCATCACTCGCTTGTTCTGTATCGTGGTGGCTGGATCCAATCAAATCTCTAATAAGGAGGCTAAAAGCCACCCTTCTTCCTCACTTTTGTCGCACCGTGGGTCAGTTCTGTCGCACAGTGGTAGTTGCTGCCAGGTATCTCCCAAATCGTCCAGGAAGATGACCTTTTCCACCCTCGTCCGACTCCTACCGGGCCGATGAGACACGCGCGGATCCCCGAGCGGCGAGCGGTGCGAAGCCCGAAAGGGCGGTGGGCGGCGCCCGTCACCCAGTGGGCCTTAGGTGCATGACATTGACATGTCTGGTGCCGCTCATGACCTTCAGCTCTCTTCGGAGCGGTGCTGTGCATTTGAAAGCGGAACTCCATTCTTTGGCGCATTTGGATGTCCCTGTTTGGCGCAGAAGGCCCAAAGAGGCACATTGCGTTTACCGTTTGAGGGACGAACGAAACACCATTTGTGTACCATAGTCGCGTATAGCTTTCATGGTGGCCGAGCCGCAACATCCTTTCAATGCTTTGTGAATAGACAGACGTGGCTAATCCGATAGAGAATGGATCACCTCTTACTGCTGAAGCTGTTCTGTAAGGTGGCTTAGCTTCACTGAAGCAGGTCCCCCAACTTCATGGACTACTGCTGAAGCTCGTGCTATGTGGCACTTTGATTAAGCATAACACTGCGAAGTTCGCCTCAAGTAGAAAAGCTCAACCAAGCTCGAGCTCCTTGGGCCACCTTGGGAGGCATCATGGGTTGAGGAGGAACAACCAGGAGCAAACAATAGACTATAAAGTAACTTAAAATCTATAAAGCTACCAGGCAAAGTGTTTTGTAAAGTTTCTCAACGACTTTGCAGATCTTCATCCCTGCACGTCCAGATCTTCCTCATTTCACCTTCTTCACAAGTGGTGGGCCATGACTGAGTCATGTGGGTGGGGTAGTTCCTGCGTCACTCCAGAAGTTTTGGGCAGGGCGTGGCTGGGACGAAGCTCGATCTCATCCTTTTTGGATAGACATCAGGTCCAAAAGCTTGAGGCCATGGATGATCCATTCTTTTCAGATCCTCTGCCGAAGGCAGTGGGAGCATATTGTGTTGTCACACCTTGCTATTGGATTTGAGATAGATATATAGATTGTAAATTAGAGTAGAATAGAATGCAATGGAATATTGAATAGAGTCGAACAGAAATGAATGAATAGTAGAATGGAACAGAACCGAACAGAATAGAATAGAATAGAATGACAGATAGATAGAGATAGAGATAGAGATAGAGATAGAGAGATAGAGAGATAGATAGATAGATAGATAGATAGATAGATAGGTACATAGATCATACACACACATCAAGCACACCCACACACACGGATATATATATATATATATTGTATATATACTTACCGTATTTTGACTATTGGTCGTCCAGGCCTTGGTCAAGTTGACTCTGACAGTTCCAGTGGCAAGAAGAAAATACAGCAGCAAAGGTCCTGCATTGAGCGTCATTCCTGCGGACGCAGATGTGGCTTCCAGTCACATCAAACTGGCATGCTCTGAAACATTCGGAGAAAAAGCCTTTTACATCGTTTGCTTGTTACATTTTTGTCGTCATTCTCCACTTTGTCGAGCATCACTGTCAAGTGCACATGTGCACATGTGCTTCAGGGCATGGAGTGTGGCGATCCAGAGAACAAGAGGCTGGAGCTTTGTCAAAGAGCTTCATCCAAGTCCATGAATCACAGGTCGTTTGCAAGCAAGGTTTCGGCTGACATGAGTGGCCCAAAATAAAGCTGGCCATTGTGGAAAACAGTGGAAGAGAAGGAGCGCGTGACACCCCCAGGGCGTTCTGTGTGCTTTTAGCATTTTGGGTACACACACACAGATTCATGTATATATACTGTGTATATATATATACATATGTGCACACATACACGTATGTCCTGCATACTGACGGAGGAATCGTGATGGATATCGTGGCCAACTGAAGGGCAACGCTGCCTTTGCCTGAGACAGATTGCTGGTTCATCTCGGTTTCATTGGTTCTCAGATGATGATGCAATCAAAGCAACAGTGGCAACCACTAGTTACCTTTACCTTTTTGACAGGTCCTTTCCTGATTTTCATGGCCATGTCACATCCGCTCCTGCACGATCGGTTTCGGACGGCCGCGGTGCGCCGAGGAAGGCCTTCCACCCGCGTTGAGCGTGCGAAGCCTCCGCGTTTCGCGCGTTTTGGGCTGGCTCCGGAGAAGTTCTTCCAGCGCCCTGAGCGCTGGAAGGCTCCCCACCTGGAAAGCCTGCCCGAACCTTGGCCAGTTTGAGTGATGCTTCAGGTGATTGTCATTTTTTCATGCGTGAATTGCTCTGGCTCTATTGACCTTGTTGACCACCACAAGACTCAGGACCCTTGAGTTCCAAGGCTTCAATTCCAATTCATCCAGTCCAGCCGTGTTTTGGACTGTGGAATGCTAGGTATTTTTCTCAGAACTGGGGACCCTGGTTGATCACCAAAAATGAACAGAATCGGCTACCTGGGAGGTCAAGCTACCCTGGTTCGGAGCTCCCGGTCTCCCACGGCCATCTCTCAAAGCCCTCTTGTTCTGAGGCCTTCAGCTCAGACGCTCATCTCCGCGTGGGGCGGGCACCGCCGCGGGACCGGCGTGGTTTCCGGCGGAGAAAAAGATGAGCCGGGACGGGTGGGGTGGTAGGTGGTGGTGGGGGTGGCAGGTATGTTTGGGGGTGGTGGGTAGTAGCTTGATGTAGCTTGGGGCCTTGGGGTGATTCTTTTCGAGTGTTGGGGAAAGACAGTGGGAGATCCCGGTTGTGGACCATGCACGAGGCTCGGTGTTTCATGCTTTAAAAGCTCAACATGGATCAAGTCCATGCAAGGTGCATTCCCAAGATCTGTAAGTTGGGGTTCCATCAATCTGGTACATATCACTTATCACAGTAATGCGTCTACAAAAAGACGCATTCTTTAGGACCTGGCTCATTATATATTCATTATTTGAGACATGTGCAAGGGTGGGAGCAAATTAGGCCATGTGCGGCTGGTGGCTGGGTGATTCCCGTCTCCGAGGCCGAGGCCGGTGGGCGTGTTCCGAAGAGACGGCCCGCCATGTCCAGCTTTTGGCTGCGCCCTCGTCATACTGCAGCCATGGCGGGATCGCGCCCCCGTCATATAGCAGCCAAGATCTTCCAAGCAAGAGTCTGCAGGCTTCCTACTGTCTAAGCACAAGAGAATGAGATCATCGCGTTTCTACAGGCGCTTGCTAAGCTCGTAGTTTGCTAAGTTAGGTTCTTGTTTTCCTATTACTGTAGTCTTGTTAGACTTTGATGCTTTTGACTTTTGGTTTGGGCCCCCCATATCTCTTTTGTCTCGTTGACTTCTGGGGTGACCACCGTATCCCTCGTCCAGCGAACTCAGTGAACTCCTAGACAGTTCTATGCAAGTATTGAAGGAACTTCTGAATTCCACGCGAGACGCACGATACTTGGGAGATGGAATTTGCAGCATCACTCTGACCCGCCCACACGTCACCGAGGAAGGGCGACTTCAGTACCCCAAAAAGATCCCGAACCGTCCCACACACGTTTGGTCCGACCAAAAACCGCGTCTTGTCCACTCAACGTCACTTGGACCAAGCTGCTTCTTCTTCCCCCTATCGACCCTTGGGTCCTCGCCCCCCACTTTTCCTCCCTGGCGGCGCCATGGAGCGTGAGAAGTCTTTGTGGTACATCTGCCGGGAGGCTGCGTGGAGCGCCTCCCAGTCGATGGAGGAGAGAGACGAGACAGACGAGAGAGGTGGAGGGAGGGGGGAGGCGGTGAGGCGTGACTCTGACCGACTGTCCACCGATGGCGGGGTGGCTGGACGAGGATTCCAAGGGAGTTCAAGGTGGAGGGGAGCAGAAACATCGAAACCACAAAACAGCTGTGAAAGTCTCGGCCTCCCAGAACCTCCACTGGTACTGTCCTGCAGGGCGCAGGCCTGGAAAAGGGTCCTCCACTTGAACCGAAGCCAGCCCAAAAGTGCGGGACTCCCCGGGCAGCGCTTGCTTTGGGTGTTCAGGACCCGCTAGTGCAACAACAGGCAGCTGAAGGAGCAATCCTACGAGCGAAGGCGGCCTTTGTCGCGTATCCCTTAGATGCGCCGTGGGCGGCACGACAGTTCCACGGGCCGCCGAGAGACCAAGCGGGGGGGTCTGCATGAGACGAGAAGGGGTGCCGCTTTGCTTCCCGGGGGTGGCACGAGATGCTTGCGGCGGGGGCTTCATGAAAACGCAAACGTTCGTAGATAGAGAGAGTCCATTTGCAACAGTTTCTGAGCTTTTTCAACCAAACACATCCATCATCCATGTCCAAAGCATATATGGAATGGCCGCGAGGGCCAGGTGGATCTCTAAATGACCGCTTCGAACACCGCGAAGTTCCGGATCACAGCGGAACGCAGCGGAGTCACCGAGGTCCTCAAGACCCAGGTGCAATCGGGGCATCCGCGCTACAACCGGCTCACGCGCTTGCCGTGCCTCGTCAAGGATTACAAGCTGAAGATCTTCCGGGGCTACCCAGGAGCCGCGGACCGTGTTCGGGACCGTGTTCCGAAAGCCATTTAGGCAGGTGACTGGCAAGGCCCGAACGGCTGTGCTGGAAGCGTTCCAGTTTTCTGGGATGCCCTTCCAAGTTCAAAGGTCTGTGGAAAGATGAGAGAAACGTAAGGCATTCAGTTCCGAAGCGATCGCCCTTCTCGGAACTGTTCTGCCGTTCTGTACGTCAGAACAGTAGGTTTTGCAAAGCTGGTTGGGGGAATGAGTTGGCATGTGCCATATAGTTGGATCCAGATCCTTCGCTTGAAGGATGGGAGTGTTTTTTCTTTCCACTCGCCCTTCAGCCCGTTTGACCAGGAGTTGGTGCCAATTCCTTCCTCATGGGCGCTTTGATGTTCGGTGGCTACCGATTCTTCGACAACTTTTGGGCCTTGTACCAGGCAGCGGTTGGCTTTGAACACTGGGTTGCCGAGGTCACGATGCAGCTTCTCATCATTCTTCTTGTTCATGTGGCTGCTGTTTTGGATGACCTGCTTATGGCAAATCGAGTTGACACATTCATACCATGTAGCTCAATTGTATTCAATCGTGCCTGATTCATCCTGAAAGTCAAGAAAGTAATATTTTGCTCTTAGGCTCATGCAGGCAGCAGACTGCGGAAGCTTGACAATATGCATCAATGTATCCATCTCTGTCGATGGACAACCTGTTTTCTCTAGCTTGACGCCCATGTGTGCCACGAGCAAACAGCTGATGATGTAGGCCTGTAGGCTTTGAATAGGTCTTGCGGATGCTCCGGAGGGGGAATGAGAGGGGCCTGGATAGGCCTGGACCTTCAAGGAGTCTGTCCTTCAGATCCATCTGCACCAGGTGCCCGACTACTGGCGCCCGGCCGTGGCGGGCGGCAGTATCGGCGCGCTGTGCGGGCTGGCGGCGACGCCGCTGGAGCAGGTGAAGACCATCATGGCGCTGCAGGTCGGGAGCAGCGTTCCAGCCAGGTTGCTGGAACCCCCCCGAAGAGAGTATAAGGGCATAGCTCAACCAGGGAGATCTCCCAGCTCGTCCCCCTCAAAGAAGGAAACTAGACCACGACCTCCCTTTGAAAGCACACGCCCCAATAAAGAAATGCACCTGTTTTTCCTGAATGAACCTAGGCCACTAGATCCTTTCTGTACCTGTCTTTCACGCCAGGAGTGGTTCTAGAACACACAGTTCTCATTGGTGCCGGTCGCAGACGATCTAGTCTGGGGGTCCGATCCAGTGCCAGCTGCGTCAACTCATCAGACGTGTCAGACCCTTCCGAAGGTCAGACCGCTTGGAGGATCCTCACGCGTCCCTGGATCTCTTTGGAAGGCAACGACTCCTCTCGTTGGGTGCTGGCACCGTCGTGCTTGTGTTTGGTCGCCGCCTTCGTTTTCCAGGAGACCTGGCTGAAGGAGCGCAAGATCACCAAGCGAATCTATGGCTCGGTGCTGCAAGGCGCCTGGAAGGCACCTTTGTCCCTGAAGTTCTATGCTGCCACACCGCTGGTGATCCGCACGGCGCTCTTCGATAGCCGCACAGCGGGAAGCTTTCGGGTGCAAGGGAAGAGGAAGGGGTTAGACGTGGTCCTGCTTCTCTAACCGTTAGAGAAGCAGGACACACCACGGCTTTCGGCAAGAAAGAGTGCCGACGGTGCGGAGCATCACTAAGACGGTGGTTCATGGAAAATGCTCCTTTCGCCGATCTGCTCGCCTCGGTGTTTGATGTCTTGAAACTGTTTTTGGATGCCTTCCTGGTAGCGCACTGGAGGTGTTTTTTCAAGAAGGACCTCTCCCAGATCCTGGTCGCCTATAGAGTCTAGAGATTGGCAAGGTGGCTCTTTTTTGCCCCTCGCCCTCTTTTTTGGGAGAAACTGAAGGAGGGCTTCTTGCCACTACTGCCCAATGACCCAGTGGCTATCGAATTGTGAATCCAAATGCTTGTTTGGGTGGCTGGAAGCTAACCATGCTAACCCTTGCCACCAAGGTCAGCTCTTCTTCTACAACAGCCGGCTTCGTGAGTGGCTCCACAGCGGCGCCTGCCCTGAGAACCTCCAGTTCCTTGTGAGCAGCGTGGCAGAAGAATGCCTCAAAACCCGACCAACTGGCTCGCTCCTATGCCCTCACGGTGATGTGAGGAGCTGTTTTGGGGATCGGTTGAAGTTTAGAGGACACTTTTACAGATCTAACCGGCATTAGCCTCAAAATCACTCACGCTTTGTCAGCAGCTCCTCTTGCTCTTTTTTCTCGCCCTAGCTTTTGGCAAGCAGCAAGGTAGTTTATCAGTTGTTACCTTTTGAATGTTGCCCTTTGTTTCAAGACCCCTTGTGCGACTCCAATGTCCTCTACAAACACCGACATCTTCTCTGCCGAACCCCTAGTGAGGAGCCTAGCAACCGTGTGGAAACTCTAGTGCTGAACCTGCTGACTTATTGCAGCTGAAAAAGCGTCGTCAACGACTAGTATCTACCACCCAGCTGCCACGATCTCCATCGACCGGCGTGGAATCGCGGTGCCGCACCAACGGTTGGGGTCATCCTGCGGCAATTGGCTGAACCATTGAACGCAATAGATTAAAATAAAGAAGCCTGACTCAAACAATGCAACACTGGGTGAAAACACCGTTTATCCATTGCTCTTCTTCCCACCCAGTTCTCTGACCCATTTTGGGAGGCTCTGACCAGTTTGGGCACTGGATGGCACCCAGCTGCACCCCCACCAGCTGCTTCACTGTCACTGCCATCCAGGCACCTTGGGCTTCATGCTGGCGGGCCTCGTGGGCGCCACCGTGAACTACCCCTTCGATCGTGTGAAGGGGCACATGATGGGCCGCGCCTTCCAGGCCTCCATCGGCGAGAAGCCGAAGGAGAGCACCTACGGCGCCTTGGTACACCTCGGTTTTTGGTTGGTTTGGGGGAGGGCCTGGAAGTCGGAGGCAGTGAATGGCGTACCCGAAGCAGTTACCATGCAGTTTAATCGGATGATAGGTAGGTCCAGCATGCCTTGGTGGAGGGCTGGTTCTCGGCCTTTTTGGAGGTCCACCCACGTGTGGAGCACGGGTGCGTCCGGTCGCGTCCGACCGTTGAGGCGCTTTTGCCTCGGTGGTGCGGCGCCACGGCTGGGCGGGGCTCTTCCACGGGCTGCCCACGCGGTCCGTGCTCCACGCGGTGGTCTGGTGCGTGGTGGGCGCTGGACGGGAGCTGTGCGAGCGCGGGGGGCTCCGGGAGCGGGCGAAGGAGACGCTTGGAGGAGAAGGGGAGGAGCTGTCTGGAGGGTGTCTGGAGGGAGGGAGTTGAAGGATTTGTGCCGTTCTTTTTGTGGAGGGAGACGGTGGCTCACCATATTGCTCTTATGGCGTCCCAGTATGGACAGCACTGGTCCTTTGTGCCCTTTCTGGTTCATATAGCACACACACACACACATATATATATATATATATATTATATATATATATATATACACAAATGACATAGTATTATCTACCATTTCATAACCTTCTTGCCTGGTCCTGGTCCTTTGGAGTATGCGTTTGCTTCCTGCACCAAGGAAGAGCGCCGCCCTGGGTCGCAGTCGCACCCTGAGTGCCTGACGCGACCGCGAAGAGCGGCCCTCGACATCCCCAACGATCCTGCGGGTGATTGGCCCGTGGCGGGGGGGCGAAGGAATGGACGGAGTCTTCCACATCTCAAAGGGATGCGGGGTGCTTTTTTGGCATGAAAACGCCCTGCCCGCCTACCCAATGGCGATGGCCTCCAACCTAAGAGTGATGGCCTCTGTACCCAATAGAAACTTCCAGGGATCTGCGGGCCAGACTTCAACGTAGGGCGTCTTCGACGAGAGGAGCTTAAGTAGTTATATAAAGTTGTGGTAGCTTCATGCATGATGTGCTCGTGTACGGAATCTAAGTCTTTTTGATTGCTCTACCGTAGCATTTTCCAAACCTAATTCCCCATTACCTGTATGTATGGTTGTATATATATATATATATATGTGTGTGTGCTGTATGTTATCTAGTTGGTTTACAGGCCAGAGGATGGCGGTGTTTACCTGCAGCCGATATTGGGAGCCGAGTTTGTCGGGTCAAATTTCACTGCAAAAGCAGTGCGCGCAGCCTTGAAGCTATGTTTCTGATTCACCTATATACTCACCTTGTCACTGACGACTGGAGTGCTGGTATTCCCCCCAGACACGACCAACCAAGAAACTGGCAGACTCCGTTGCATTCTCCAAGGGAGCCGCAAGCGGTGCGAAGAGCAAAACGTCCGCAACAGCCAAGCTTTGACACGTGTGAAGATACGATAGATGTGTCCTCCTTCGCATCGATTCCAGGTGTGACGGGAGAATGACTCTTCAACCTCTACCAGGGCCCCGCGAGGGGTGTCTAATGATTGCCCCTTGGAGGTGATTCGGGGTGTCCAATTCTATCTCCACCCCTTTGGGGGGACCTGAGGGCCTGGCAGTTGAAAAAGATTGAACAACTTGTGCTTTGCTGAAAGGCTTTTTGCTCAGATGAACCGGCACATGGAGCAGCCTACCAAAACCGATGCTGCAAGCGACCATGGTACATCATGGCACCCACACACAAGAGCATGATTAAACCCCTGCAGAATCTCCACAGTGCGCGTGTGTGCTTAGCTCCCAGCCTCCAACCCATGAACCATCTGAACCTTCACCAACCCCTGGACCACTCCTGTACCCGCCCAGTCAGTGGATACATTGTGGATACCCTTCGGCCATTTTTTAAGGATTGGCCCCCCCAAAGAAAACAAGAACAGGCGGAAGAAGATGGTCATGTTCCATTAAAAACAAGTCTGGTTTTTTCGGTCGGTGCACCACTCTATCTAAGCTGATGCTCTCTGACCGTTCCACCGTGACCACGTTGACCGCGGATGGTTTGCATCTCGGGTGTTTGGCGGGAAGCCTGGCTGCAACTCCGCTTGGCACTGCCAGTGTGTGGTGCCAACCTTTTGCAGCGCATATCGACCTGGGTGACCTGGATTGTGGTGGGACGCTTGGGGCCTCTTGTCAGGTGATGGGGCTGGGGGGGGCCTTGTGAGGGTCCGATTCGCTGGCGCGCCCGGAGTCGGTGGAGGTGGTGGGGATGGGTTTTCTCAGTGGGCCCCATTCATGCCAAACGGCTCCAGCTGGTCTGTACCTAACTCGTACAAGTGCTGAAGGTGTCGGAATCCCTGGGGTACCACTGTTTTCAAACGAAGGAGAAGTTCACGAGGGAAACATTGCTGCTTCATGACAATAAACCCTCAGCAAACCCGTGCCAGTTCAGTGCTTCCTGAGCTAAGTGCTGGCTTGCAGTCTAAAGGGGGTTGAAGTGCAACCTTTAATCCAAGGTTAAGCGGTTGATCCCGTTGAAGAGCAAGTGCGAGTGAGAGTCCACCATCTTCAAGGCACATTCAGTGGCCAGTGATGACCCTTCCCAGGGTTCGACACAGATCGCACAAACACCTTGCGATGCATATCTCCAGGCACACCACACACACAAACCTCCGCCTGCGCGCTGAGGAAGGATATCTTAGGGCCGGTGACCCTGTCGAGCAGCGTGAACAACGTGCTCGGCACCTCTGTGGTGGGCGGTCTGAGCGTCGGAGTGTCCACCTTGGCCTCCCAGGCGCTGCAGCCCGCCTAGGCTGATCAGTGATTCTACAGTGGTTTCAGGGCACCCCAAGATGTTTAGTAACACGGGTCCAACTCAACCACCCAACTTGAGGGTGCCATCTACTCAATCCACTCTACTGTTGGTGAACGCCGGGCCAGGCCTATGGAGCTGGCAATGACCTGGCCATGGCCTTGGTACTTCAAAGGGCGATCATGGTTACCCTTCTGGGCTCGCAACTGGGCTCAGCTGGGGACCGGGCGGGCGCTTGTGGTGCCCCCTGACCAATCGGCAGAACCTCCAAAAGGCCATGTTGGGGTCTTGTTTGGGTGGTTTGTTTGGGGTCTTCATGGCTTGCTCCCTCGCACCCCGAGGTGGGCGCTGATCCAAACAACAGATGTATGTGTCAAGGATCCGGTTCAATAGGGCCATCAATTGCAGCATCAGCAGGAAACATGATGGACACCGTATATCTCAACAACGGTGGCTAGTTAGGTCCAAATGCCACACCACAAGGTGCCACAAGGTAGAAATGTAAAGTAGAGCACTTTTCAACCAACCTGGAAATGTCATCACGAAAAATGGAAAGGCTCACTGAACCAATGATGTTGGGGGTTTGGGGGACTCTTTGGGTGTTTGGGTGGTCCCAGTGTTTGCAAGGAGTTTTTTGGGTGAGCAGCATGTTGAGAGAGGCGGTGGTTTGTGGAAACCCCCATGCCGTCCAACCTCCCTCGCAACTCGCATCCCCCCGGTGGAGTTTTGCTGTCCTTGCTTCTTTTCTGCTGGTTCCCCTTCCTCGTAGAAAACTGTGTGTTGCTTTTTTGCGGCTCAGGATCCCTTGCGTGATCCTTTTGGCATTGATCAGGCGGGTCGAGCAGCCCCATTCTCATGGCGAAAGCATCCAACCACCTTACCGGATAGGTCCCGGAAAACGCCGCCGCGAACTACGCGAACGTCTCATAGCCCAAAGGGATCCAAACCTTGTGAAAGAGGAGAGAGAGAGAGAGAGGCGATTTTTGATGGGGCGGTGCTGGTCAAAAGATGTCAAATGTGTAGAGCATTTGATATACTGTGCTATACTGTCACACTGTAGCTGTAGCTTTACTCACTTGTGGTGGAGGCCGATCCTAGAGATGCTGGGCATGGAGCCACACTTTTGCAGCGTGGCCGGCGGCTACGCGCTGACGGTTCTTCTGGTGACGCCCTTCATGGGTTTGCAGCGGTCGATTGGCACCTGGCTGGTGGCGCAGAGCCTCGGAAAGCCTCGGTTGGAGGCCTTGGTGGTCACCAGTGCGGAGCGGGATCCCTTGGATGGTTGGTGGGTTGCTTCGGCCAACGGAAGAGCTGACGAGGTGGTCGATGTAGCCTCCCCGGCATATGATGGGATTTTTTATGGGGTGGACATGGCCGAGAGCTCCTCGAGAACCAATGCTTCATTCATGAGAACATTTTAAACTTTCAAGATTTTGAAGAATGAAAATCAGGAGGGCGGACCAACACAAAGTCTTTTGCTACCTGGGTGCCGTGCCCGTGCCGTGCCCGTAGCAGTTCTCCCGGGCCCGTGGAAGTAGCAGTGCTCGTGAAACTCATTAATTATGGGCATCCCCCAGCAGGCCAACCTGAACGCATGTTCTGCAAACAGCAGCTGTTTCAGGAACCATCAGGAACTACAGTATGCTAGTTTGCAGGGTGTCTCAAGAAAAGCTTTGTTGGCTAGTCATGGCACTGTGGGGTCTTTCCCATGGTGATTCTTTGGCCCCTTCTTCCTGCGAGGAAGAACAACCATCCCAGGACCGTGCCCGCGCTCTGCGCGGGCTGCGCGACAGTTCAAGAGCTTTGGTTCTAATGCTGGGAGTTATTGCTTGGGCAAACATGTGCAGGGCAGTACCACACATGAGGGCAGTGCGGGGCAGTGCCCGCTGCTGCTGGGGTTCCACGCCGCGTGGTTGCTTTCACCGCCCGGGCAAGGTGATTTCTTCCATCTATGACCCTATACTGCATGCACTTCTATCTCGTGTTGTATCTGGTCTTGATTGTGGTGATCAGAGCGTTGACCAAGATCGAACATTGGTGGAAGGCTTGCATCAATCATGAGCCTACGACTCACTCCCATACCTGAACCCCATTGTAGAGCGGCACTTTTCTCCCTGACTTCCGCTGGCCCAACCCTTCCGACTTCGCCCAACCGCCCCCATCGGACCACCTTCCGGAGCAGCTTCCGGACCCTGCCCCGGTCGCCAGGATGATTGTGATTCTGATTGCCTTGCCTGCTCACACGGCGCTGACGGTGTCCCTGACCGGCCGCTGGAGCTACTTGGGCGCGGGCGTCGCCATGACGCTGAGCACCGGCATGCAGGCGACGCCTGGCAGCGTGGTGAGACATGACCCAACCACCAGGCCACACCGCTTCGCTCTGGTTCGGGGCACCTCACCAAACGAATTCTTTGGGATTGCTTGGGATTCCTGGAGTCTAGGGACTGTAGAGGTTTCTATTCTTTGAGGCATCTGAAGAGGTTTCATCCCAATTCATCCCTGCCATGCATTTGGACCAAACCCATCATACCTGACTCAGCTTTTCCACTTCAGGATCCCAATATACCGGTGGTGGGTTGGTGCATGTTCTCATGTTCCACGTGCACTGCAATAATCTGCAACATGGAACGCGCTGACTTTGCTGTGTGTACAATGGCAAGTGCGGAATGTTTGAAATTTGACCTTTTATGCCCTGTTTATAGTCTTGATGGTAGCACCCTCCATGGCCCAGTAGCAACCTTAAAGCTGGTATGAAAGATGGTTCTTCGACTATCCAGTTGGTCGAATCCATGGTGGCACTTACATTCTGCTTCTCCTTCTTTTGCCTCTGAGTATAGTCCTGATCTAGGCCCATCAATGAATCGATGTCCTTCCAATACGGGCGATCGCTCTAATAGCGGATTGGTTTGAACCGCCTCAGGGGGCGTTTTCGCACGCATCCTGCCACCCTGGGGCGCTTCCAACAAGTTGTGATCCTGGCAAGGTTCAGTGGTCCTCGTTCGACTCACGTTTTGTTGAGGATCCTGATCTATCTCTACATCTCCTTCTCTTCGACCTGCTCAAGGACCTGGCGCGGGTTCAGCTGCGAAGCCTTCAAAGACTGGGGGCCTTTCTTGGAGATCGCTCTGCCAGGTGCCCTGCACCAGCCGCGAAAAGTTCGTCGCCACACGTCCCGACCGGGGTGGTTTGACCCCTAGCTTAGGAATCGCATTTAGGTTGCTTTGTGGCCCAGAACAGATAAGCATCAGGCTTTAGCGGGGGGTTGAATCCTTCAAGTCAAGTTCGTTCGTTCGTGCTTCAGAAGCGTGGCTTTACTTGTCCTATTTTCGCCCTCGGTGCTCTTCGCTGGTCCCTGAGTGGAAGCACCGAGGGTCACGGCATCTAAGCACACACACAAACACACCACTTTGAACCTCAGGGGTTTGGATGAACACGGAGTATTTTGTGGGAGAATCCTTGACGCTGGCGGCGAGCATGCTGCCGGATCCTGACACGTGCCTGGGCTGCAGATTCGGGAGTGCTTTTGCGGTTGAGTTGGGCGAGGAATGGGTGGCCTCAAGCGAGCACTTCTAGTTTTTTGGTGTGAGTTTGTGTGTGCCAACTCCCATCATCTCCCATCCCCATTCGCAGGAAACTCTTTCAAAAACCTGGCTCGCGCTGACTCGACCCCAGTTGTGTTCGTCGTGCTGGCACCGGCGCCGGTGGGAGGTGCTTGTCCGCCTTGTCCATCTACCAGCTCACTCAGACGACCTGCTATCAGATCCCCAGTGGCCTACGCATGGTCATCAGCTCACGCCTCGGGAACCAACTGGGCGCCAACCAGCCGGAGGAGGCCGCGTTGGGCGAACGTGCCGGGCTCCGTGACCTGGCGGGGTGTTGGAAGTGGGCGTGAGGACTCCGCTTCCAGTGATGATATCGGTTTCCAACAGTGGAGTGCCCTGAATTCATGCATCATGATCATCATGATTTATAACTAAGCCTTTGGGTAAGCCATATGACTTCTCCATAAGTATTCGACTTTGGCTGCGTAGATGATGTCCAACGACATGTTCGATCAGATTCTATCAATGCATTCACTTCAGGCGAAGAAGGACCTTTCAGAAAGGCTCTCCCCTCCAACATTTCACCAACCTATATAGGGCCAGATGGCCCTAACTATTGAACAACCAATAGGAATATGGTCTATGATTCCTAATGGGCGTGGGTCAGCTTTTGCTTTTCCATCAACTTCCATCCCGTTTCTTTTTCGAAGAGATGCATTGCACCCTTTGTGGCGGGACTGAGGGCTGGTCCTGTTGTGGTTGACCATTCCAGCAGTGCTACTGCTGGTCTTCACCCGGCAGTGGGGATTGCTCTTCACCCAGAACGAGGCCGTGCTACACTTGCTGGACACCTTGGTTTGGCTTCTGCTCATGTACAGCAGCCTGGACGCCCTCCAGGCAGTTTGGGGGCGCTTTCGGGGGTGGTCTCTGGCCGGTCACGGTTCTTTGGTGAGAAAGCTTCTCTTCGGTTCTTGAGGATCCCATCCCTGAGGGAGCCCCGCCTGCCGCGCTCAGACGGGGCTTTGGTCCGTCCGCGCCGGCACGGGAAATCCGGAGGCCCGAGGAAGAGTGTGCAGGGCTTGTTGAATTTGCAGAACGTGGAGCTAAAGGTGCATGTAGACAGGACCAGAAGGTTCATGAGAGTTGAACAAGGGAGCTTGAAGGAGATTTCTGTTGGTGTTTGGATGATGGTTTTCGATTGCATCGCGGCTGCTTTCTCTCGGACCCCAACGAGTAATAGTGGAAGCAGCTGGCCTTTTCTAGAACCAATCGGAGACGGGTTCAAGATGGTTCAAGCCTAGAGGTGATAGAGGAAGTCCAACACTGCTCAGACGAGCCTCAAACTGTCCCCTCTCTCAGTTGTGGGCCCTTTCTTTCCACAGTGCCACAGCTGGAAATTGGATGGGCCCGAGGTGTTGTCCCCTCGGCAACCTCGGGAACTTGGGGCCCTTTCCCTTCGCCTTGGATGCTCCACCTGGGCACTGGGGCGATGCTCCCGAGGCCTACAACAACGGGACCTTGGCCTCGTGCGGGCAGCAGCAGATCAGCGGCCGCTGGGCGCTCCGAGCCTATCTGGGCGTCAGTCTCCCCGTGGGGCTGCTTTTGGCCTTTGCTTTTCGCTGGGGCCTCCTGGCTGGTTCTGCTCGGTTTCGGATGGGGGTGGACGCGGTGAGAGGTGCAGCATCGAAAATCAGATGAACCAGCTTCGAGAGAAAAGGGGATCGTCCACCGCAGCGCCTGGGAGGTGGCCCCTCCAAGTCTAAGACCGCAGACCTCACGTTCGCCTTCCGGTGGACCATTCAAAGAGTTTGGTTGAACTGGCTTCTCGTGTACTGCGTTTGTAGTTTAAAAAACCATACTATAATATATAGTACAATCACTGGCTCTTTCGGATGGTCTGCAAATCCGGTCGTGGGCCGGGAATTGGGATCTTATTTCCAGCAGTCACTTCCCGAGCTCGTCCACGACCCCTGGGATGGGACGAGCCACACCAGGGATGGTCGGAAGTGACCCCTGGTGCATCCTGCAACCATTCCGGTCCACCTTTTTGGATCTCTATCCGATCCCGGAGGATCCGGAGGTTAGCCGGTTTTTTGTTGTCTGGGCGCCCTGAACGGAACGGCGCGAACGGCACCCCTCCGGAACGCGCATCCGGAAAAGCCAACATAGTAGTTAGTAGTTGAAAGAGATCCAAAAAGTCCTGGATGGGATCTTCGCCCTGCCCTTCTAGGTGTGGTGGGTCTATGTGCTGGGCACTGTCTGGGCAAACTCTGCCACGTTGTCCCCTGCTGGCGTGCGCTGAAGCGCATCGACTGGGAGGCGGAAGCCAAGCGGGCAGCGGAGCGTGTGGAGCATGTTCGGCCCATGAGTGTGGCGCTTGTACGCTGAGCATTTTCAGGGGCCTTCCGGACGTCCCCAACAAGGGACGACCAGTCCCTCTGGTCCTGAACCGTGCTTCCGTGCGCGGAAAGAAGGGGCTTTCGGTGCGGTGATCGGATGTAAAGCGCTCTCATTCACCTTCACTGCTGAGAGAGAGAGAGAGATGTTTGTGTTAAACGCCGTGAGCCCACTTAATTACTTGCATTCCAATTCAAAATAATTCAAAGGTATGCTTCAAGGCCATCTCCACGACCTTCACCGCGTCCTGCACTGCAGTCTTTGACGCTCGAATTGGGCGAAGCTCATGGCGTCGTGGAGCCGCTTCGAGCTCGAACCGGAGACGACCACCTTGGCCTTGCGCCTCGGTGTTTCATGCATGGCTCGAAGCACCGCCTTTTCCCCCGACCCCACAGAAGTTAGGGGTGACCCAGCAGGCGGCCAGCGGGTTCTTGTTAGGCCGTGTTCCAGGTTTTTGGAACTTTTCAGCGGCCAGCCCTCCAAGCAAAATGGGGATTTCATAGGATTTCGAGTTTGCACTAGTAGACCAGGGGCTTCAAACCCGCATACCCCCGCAGCTTTGTTGATTTTGTTGCAAGCTAGGCCAATCAGCTGTAGACAGTGTAGAGGCTCCAACTTGTGCCCCATAGCGATCGGATGCCTTCGTCCATGTGTTTCATGCAGCAGATGCACGAGTCGGAGGTCCTTGAACACACCAAATTCAGCATGTGTTTGACACCTGTACCGACGAAGCGTGCTTCGAGATCAGATGCCGCAGTCACCGGGGAGACCAGTCGACTTGCCGTGATCTGCGCGATCATCCGTTTCGCTTGAGGCGTGGCGTTTCCAATGTGCACAACCGTGACTCCATCCTGCAGTTGTTGGATACCGCATGTGGGAGCTCGGCGAAGTATAACTTTGTGTTTATGCCTTTGGCTCGTGGCGTGGTTGGCGAAAGAGAGCGGAGGATGGAGGAGGAGGGGCTTGGGGAGAGTCTGGAGGCTTAGAGCCGAGGCACTTTGTGAACATGTTGGGGTCCGACATCATCACCATACTCTAATGCCCTGGGAGTCAGAGACTATCAAAAGAATGGTCTGACTAGGTGACCGAGTTCAGGAATTTCCTTCACTTCAGTCAACATATAGTCGAACTGGACTTCTAGGAATATGGTATTCAACGGTGTGCTTCACCGCATGTAGCGACACGCCCGACTGTGACGCAGTGTGGTGGTGGTGGAGCCGCTACCAGCGGCGTGGGACGGTTTCGGATCCGACACCCTGTGGCCATCGTCAGATGCACCTGGCCACGGAACAAGTGTTCCCGCTGCCGAACGACCCAGCTCCACTTGGCGTTCGGCCGGCCGGAACGCGCCGCGTTCCGCGCCGGAACGCGAAAAACGCGGCCGCGTGCACCGCCGTGCCGTTCCGTTCCAAGAAGCGGGCCGAGGTTCTTCCCATGCAGGGCTCGCGATTGTGAACTTCGTGGATGCCGCGAGCTGCGCCCGGTGCTTCGTGCGACTGAGGCAGATGCAGGAGACGGACGGGCCGACGTCGGTCGGTCGGGTCTCGGTGCTTCGTGCGTTTGGTGCGTTTGGCACCGGGTTTGTTTGAAAAAAACCAAGGACATGGTCTTTTGAGATGGGGTTGGGGATTGTGCCACGTACGATGCTAAGGATTTTTGGAGGTTTTGGGCGGTTTTGTTGCTACATGATGCTACATGCGGGTGCTATGCTATGCGAGATTGGTGCTGAGAAATCTGCTTGAGTCCAATCACCGCCCACGTTGTGAGGCAATCGAGAATTGCATAGGTGTTCAGAGGCTCCTAGGGAACCAGCTGTTGTCAGAAATCAGCTCAGAGTGTTAAGTTTTTCTCCACTACAAAGTACTACCCGGCTCGCAATTCCTGTACCCCTTTTATCGCCTGGCCGCGTCGTTCAGGCTTGCAATACACTCACCCTTCGGCCTTTCGTGTGGCCTTGTTTTCCCGTTGAGACCCTTCCAGGACCCAAGTGACCGTTTTGTCTTCCCAGAACGAGGTCGCTTGTCCCTAGGCCCTAGAGAGGTTCGTTCGAGACTCCCAAAGAGGTCACTTTGAAGGTCCTGGTCCTGGTTGGTCACCGACCTGGGCAGAAAATGGGGCACATATGGATTCGCCAGGGGCGCTCCCGGTGTCGCTCAGGACCAAGGGTTGATGGTGGGCGTCAAGAGCGTCGCTCGGTCCTACATCCAGGGCTTCGCTGAGATGCTTGGAGAAAGATGGGGCCTGGTGGGCGAGAGTCCGGAAGCGCCTTCCGCATGAAGGAGCAGCATTGGACACCCTCTTCAGGGTGATGATCGGATTCTTTCTTGGCTTGCCGGCTGGCCGCGGAGGGGTGCCCAGAAACCTTTTCTCTAAGAGTGGCAGCCATTCGAACACAAGCCAGCAGCTAAAGTAAAGCAAAAGGAGGACTTGCCGGTACGCCCGAGCTGGGTCGTGCACACTGCGGGTGATAATGGTAGGTGATAGGTGATAGGCAATCCCAGGGCTGAAACCGAAACGGTGGACGGCTCCGCCCGCCGAGCTGCCGGAGTTCGGGTTACAATCACCCCGATTTCGATGCATTTCCATCCAATAACCACCAGAACTCCGTGGTGCTTGTGGATCTTGTGGTTGATCCATCCTTCTGACCACCCAGATCCGCTCCAGATCCATCATGGTAGGGGGGCCCAATCCGGGCCCCGGGAGCCCGCCTTCACCAGGAACCTCGCCTACTACGTGGTCATCTCCCAGACGGACAGCCGCGTGACGGAGCGGCCGCGGATCTTCGTGCCGTGGCACGGGAGCGGGTGTCGCCGGTGGACAGTCGACGCGTCGTCCGTCCCAGGAACTGCGTCCGGTCTCGGCCGATGGGCGACCGACCCGCCCGCCACGGTCGGCCAGCCGGCACTCTCTACTAGTGCGGTGGTCGTCTCACGGTGTGTCCTCCGGTGCGCAGGAACCCCCAACGTGCTCGGGGGATCTTGGGGGTGGTTGGACACCCTGGGTTGCCTCTACCAGGATCCAACAGGTCCTCGAACCATGGTGGGCTTTTGCAGACACGGCTGCTGACCTGTAGAGTGACCTGTCGAGTCGTCGTTGGGTCCGGGACTGATCGAGTCGGACTCCACAGCGCAAGACCGACCGCGCTCCCCTTCCGTCCCGTGGTCCTGGTTCGGAAGCACCTGACGGGCGCCGGAATGCCTCATGGAGGGTCCGTTGTCGCGCCCGACCGACGCTGGGAAAGGAGGGGCGGAATCTGGTTCAAGGTAGCCAGGTAGACCAAAGACTCTCTTTTTTGGGTTTTGTTGAAGGTGACTGTGACGGTTTGAAGGCCTCCAGTGGTGAAGGAGGCAGTGAAGTGTTGAGCGTGGCGCGGCGGGCAACGGCCTCCAGGTCGAAGGGAAAGAAGGAGATGATGCTTTGCTCGCGGCCTTGATCGAAGAGTTCGTGACTGAGGATCTCAAGCTGAAGGCTGCGGAGCGTCTTGGAGAGGTTTGCCGCGCTTTTGGAGTCGTGAGTTTTGCTTCGTGACCTGACGTGGATTTTAGGGGAAGTCAACATGCACGTAAGGCATGAAAGAGGATGAAAGGAGTAATTATGTGGGTTGAGCGAAAACCCATCGACGTCCGCAAGTCATGGGTTTCATGGATTATGGATTGGTTCGGGGCACTTGTGAATACTTATTACGCTCTTACGACCCTTCTAGATTTGTACATATATTATATATATATAATATATATATATACACATGTAAACACTGGGAGTGAAAGACTATATATAAAATTGTCTTTAGGTGACCCGAGTTCGGGAATTTCCTTTACTTCCGGTCAAAATATCGTTGAACTGGACTTCTAGGATATAATATATATAGTTATATATATATATATATACTGTATACAGAGATGTTACAGCATATATACTGATGGTTTTTGTCAACACATCATCACAAGTACATCCTAATGTCCTTCAGGGGGCCAGGGCCAACGGTCTGGGTGTAGTCGGACATCTGGCCCCTCTTCTTTCGGGCTCCGCGCGGCGAACCGAGCCAAGCGAAGCGTGTTTCGGAGTCCCGGAGCCGATGCGTCTTCCGGCCCAGTACGCAAACCGGATTGAGAGCATGTCATGTCAGTCTACGCCAACGCCCTGGACCGACACGACCGCCACGAAACACCTTGAGGCAAGCAGAGGTGCCCGGCCCGGCGACCTGCGCGTGGGTGTGAGGGGTGTGCGGGGCGGGCCATGGATGTGGACATCCTGGGGCCGAAGAAGATGTTCCGCTACAAAGGGGGGCACTTTCCACTTCCATGATGGTGTTTGGTTATTTTGGGGGTCGCCCAAAGGCGTCAGGCGAGGCACGTTTCCCCGTTTGCCTCTTGAATACTGAATCTTCTCGCGTGGCAGTGTGTGCAGGGTGCGTTTGTGCAGGGTGCACACCGGCGTATGGCGTATGGGTGTGGAACTGCACGGTGGAGATCCGTGGATCTCTGGAATTGAAGCACCAAGAGTTTCAAAGGGGTGCTTAATTTAATGGAGGTAGGGCGGGGTGCCCATTATCCACTCACTGAGGGACTAAACCCCACCCCTTTGTGACCCCTGGTGTATGGATGTACATGGCAATCCCCCGTAGTATATAGTAATTGTAATTGTGAAGTATCCTATTTCTCCCTGCGTTTCTCCGTCCGCATGGATGGTGCTTGTGACCTTTGCTGCCCCGAAGCTCCAGTTCTTCGTCCCCCAGGCGCTCTACCGCGCGCGCGGTCCTGGACCGCGCGCGGGCGCGCGGGCGGCCGCCAGAGGCCCTGGCAGCGCTCGTCCGTGGCCCGCGGGGTCCATCCAGCGCGGCGAGGCGTGGGGGAGCGAGGTGGGGGTGCAATGGTTTCCAGGTCGTGTTGATATTTGGCCCTGGTAGAAGAGTTTCTCCTTTTTTTTGGGGGGGGTTGGTGCGTTCATGAACCACATGGTGGGTCCTGGTAGTTGTGGATGTTTGTATTTTCTTCTACTCCCTCGGATATTTACCCTTGCGGATTGTTCCGCCGGCCCTTTTGGCTGAGGGGAGGGGGTGGGGGGGGGGGGGGGGGGGGAAGTTAGACTTGTCAAAAATCCGCGCCGTGGGTACAATTAGACTAAAAACAAAACTACTACTAGGATAGCATACAAACCAATCACCTAAAACACGCCGCGCCCAAGGGCCGGCGGATTTTTTAGGTTGGTGGATGGATGTGTAGGCCTTGGATGGATGTGTAGGCCTGCACGTCGACGTAGCTTTTCACGTCTTCCGATCCGAGCCTCCGAGCCTCCGAAAGAAAGGGAGGGCTTGCTTCGACTGGGAGCTGCTCCAGTGGTCCATGTGAGCTCATGAGACGCCACCGGTGCATGATACAAACCACTCGTGAGCTCAGAGAGACCTGGCAGCCATGTACCCGGAAAAAGAGGGAGCATTTTTTGGGCGTTCTTTTGTGGTCCGAACCGCGTGAGTCGCTTTCGGATTTTGTGTCGGCCGGCCACGGGGAGGGTCAGTATATAGACGGTCTCCCACCGCCGTTACCGTTACCGTTACCGTTACCGTTACCGTTCGCTCTGCCCCATCGCAGGCGAGCGTGAGCGGGGAGTGTCTGGCGATGGGTCGGGAGCCGACCGATGAAGAGATGAAGACCATCCGCCGATGGTGCCGGAGCAAAGCAAGTTCGGCTCAATACCTGTTCTTTTCTCTTTAGGGCCTTTCGAGATCTCTGGATGGGATGTGAACATGGTTCTTGGCACAAGATTTCGAAAAAGCACACACTCAGAGAGATCTACAATCGACCGAGTCCAACGGTAGACTCTGCCCTCAGGATTTAACCTACTGGTGGAGAACTTTTGGATGAGGTAAAGCTTGGCTTGGGAAGTGCTGTAATGCTCTGCCCAAATTGGAAGATGTTTTTGGACTGAACATGTGTTGGGGATCTTTTTTTGCTAACACTTCTCTTTGCCACTGCCGCGTCAGCGGGGAAACCAGTCCCAAAAGTCTGTATCCCCACTGCTGCGAATGGCGGCCCGCACTGAATCTTCTCCAACCACGTGAGCCATGTCAAGAGCTAACGAAAAGATGCCAATTTCATTGCCTTCGCCTTCAGGGCGGCTCAGCTGTTTTCAATCATTTTCGGCCCATGGTGTTCTGGAAAGCAGATTGGCTTCTTGACGCAGGTTTAGAGGGGTCCCCGCGTGGGGTGTGGCTCGGCTTGAGCCTCTCTGCCTCTCAGATGTCTCACAAAGGACGCCTCGAACCATTTTATGACGCTTCTTGGGCGGCAGTTCTCGGGCGGCAATTCTGGGCGCGCAGCCTGCGAAGTGGCAGGCCGCGCGCGGCCTGAAGTTGCGGGCCCCGCCGAAACCTTTTTCCGCCAGGTCCAAAATGCACAGGTTGGCCTCATCTGGAAGAGATGGGGTCCAACAAGCTTCTTCGTGAAGCTTCAGAGGCTTGGAGTCAGGCACCCCAAACGATTTCGTCTATATTTAGATTTAATACGATTTAATTGAATTGATTTACATGGTATTATACTATAGACATATATTATATAGACTTTCTACATATGTTTCAAGGCAGTGCTTTGTCAAGGCTGTGTCTTGGAGCCTAGAAGGGGCTGACATGGCAACGCTGTGCCTTTGAAGAGCCTATGAATTCTTCTTCGGATTCTGACAGAAACTTGCCAACCTCATTTTCCATCGCTGTGCGGAAACTACAGCGATTCAGAGATAGTATAGCGACCCCAAATAGATAGAACTGAAGAGTGATTTCCCAGTGATTGCATCCCAAAAGTGTACAAACGCAGAAGCTTTGATCTACTTGGGAGCTCCGCTGCCTAAATGGCTGCGTCGGTGACTTGGTGCAAGGCCCCCGCAAAGGCACCGTCGAATGCGTTGATCGCGCTGGCGCGACCCCTTCCGTCCGACCGCTGGCGCGAAGGCGGCCGGCGGGCGGACTCGCCCAATTCGCTGTTTTAGGGTGAATGTCTTGATTCTGGGAAGGGAATTTAGAAGAACTTTTGGAAGAACATCCGGTGAACGGGGTTTGGTTCTGAACGCGTTCTGAAGAAGTAACATCAGCATAGCTTAGGTGAACTGCACAACAGCAAACAGCAAAACCTCCAGCCGACCTCCAGCCCTTCCTGGTTCCAGCCGGTGCGCCGGGTCGTTCCGGTGCAGGGTGGAACCCAAGCACCTAGCTTTGGGCCAAGGGTTCCAACGCTCGCGGTCTCGAATCACCATGTAGAAGCATATCCACACATGCAGATCATACTACAGTAGGTACATTTGCTTTGGGCGTGATTCCGGAAATGCTGCATTTTGCGTTGCTTCTGGAGCAGCCATCCCCGAAGCAAGCTCTTTGGGCTGGCCCACCAGGCTTCACGGCACCCAAACCCATATGCATTGGCCCATTTGAAATGCTGTTGTGGTTTGTTTAGGATTCTCAAAACTGGAGAGCAGGAGGCAGCTGTGCTGATCCCTGAATGCGCTAAGCAAAATGGTCGAAAGCATGTGGACGTAGCTTGTTTACTCTTTTTGGGGTGAGCAGGGTGGGCCGACGATGGTGAAGGTTTCCTTCAACCTTGCCCGGGTCAGTGGGCAACCTAAGAATCCACATCAATTTGCGGCCTTGAGCGGCAGATGCAGTCCCAATGTGATTCGATACGGACCTTCGCGATGCTGGCAACTTCGGCATGGCGTCAGGTTCTTGCTAACGCGCACAGTGGCGATGTACAGTGCCCCTTCCTTCTTTGTAAAGATGGGTCTGGGTTGATTGACTCGCTCCATTTTGAGCTAGTGAATGTCTTAGCCCACCGCCTGGGCAGAAACATGAACATGGAAGATACAACTTCTTGAGACATTTGACACCACTGAATGGCGTGGGTTTCTGTCTTGTGATTTTTCTGATGCCCTGCGGCCCCCGTGGATTCTGCTGGCCTGGCCCCAGTTGTACCAAGATGCACCGCCCCTTTGCATCCAAAAGGGGGAGTCGGCGCGGGTCACGTAACCGGGGCGCGTTCCTTCGGACATCCACGGAGCGGAGCGTTGCGCGGAAGGGGTCGCACCCACGGACTCAGCGCTATGAGGCCGAACGGAGCATGTATGTTCTGGGCTGAAGGGATCTGAAGGGCCCACGTGGAGCACAGCAGCAAAGCGTGAGGAATGGCAATGTAGGGGCTGGCCCCTCACTGGGCGCAACTCTTTGTGATTCATAGATGCACAAGCACATCCCAGGAGTCACAAGTGTCGGCGAATGGACACGGGCCATTCTCCGTGTCCATTCGCCGACACGGTCTAGGTTCATTGGTTCAAACCGACAGTAGATCAAGAAGAAATGGAGGTGGTGGAACCTGGACCCCCAAGGGGATGGTTAATGGACAACCCTTGAGATCTAAGGGGCTAAGAATGGACACCCGGGTCCTCCGTGGTGCTGGACCATTTCTTCTGGACGCTTCCGCCCTGCCATGGAAGACTGGACCTCGGAGATCCGGTTTCAGCCGGAGGCACGGCAGGATGGATGGTTTTCGAATGGTTTGGGGTACGTGGAGCAAGTTGGAACTTCTGGAAAGATCTGGGACGTGCTCATCCTGATGAATGATGGGCCCTGCAAAACCGCTGGGTGAATGATGTGTCCACGGTGTGTAGGGATGGGGAACCCATGTCCACGGTTCTTGGGCGAGATCAGCTTGTCCCTTTGAGACGGCCAGCTGACTGTCCGTTTGCTTGTGAATCAGATTGTGAAGCTGAGACATTGAAAACTGGTTGACGAGGTTGCACCCATTTCATGCTGCATCCCCTCCATCGGTGCGTTGGCCATTTTTTTTCTCGACTCGTCACTGGTTCGTGCGAGCAGGATGATGGGCGATGGGGAAGGCTCTTCCTAGGGAACCATGAAGCAGCAGAGCAGTGGCACGAGCTGTGTCAGGCGCAGGTGGGGCATATATCACTGCATCCATCTACTGATCTATGTATATACTTCTCCACCTCTCTATACTAATGCTACTCAATAGCTACTCAATACCTCTATCTCTCTCTCTCTCTACTGTATCTCTATCTATCTGAGGCTTTGCATGGGTTTGGTGATTCTTGAGGGTGCCAGGGGGGCCGGGCTGTTCGGTTCTGTCGCTCCCGAACACCGCGGACGCGACGACCGGTGACACCGTCGCTGAAAAGCGGAGATCATGCTCCTTGAGCAGAGTAGAACACTGTGGTCTGGAGAGTAGATGGCACCACATGGCACAAGACCGGACCCCATATGTTTCAAGACATGTACTGGGGCGCCAGTGCCACCGAACCTCTGAAGCGATTGGCATTTGTTCAGGGCTCTCCGACGCACGGGGGACTGTCAAGTGGCCAAGTAAACCGATGTGTCACGCAGAACTTCGATTTGGAGTCACTCAAAAGTCACCTCCCCCGCGCGGGGCGAACGAAGGATCGCCTCGCAACTTGGATGGCGAGACCCGAGGATTTGCAGAATTCAGACCTTGGAGCCGAACCAACAGAGGTTGAAGGAACTAGACTATCCCAGTTCGGTACCCCAGTTCAGGTCACTTAACCTCTCTTGGATCTCGGGCCTTTTTCCCGTCGGTTCACCAAAACCGGCACCGCGCTGTGCGGGGGACCCCCGGCTCCAAGCGCTTCGCACCGGGGGCTGAAGGATGGAGTGGTGATCCGGAAGTCGTCCTCCAGCCGCGTGATTCGTGATTCGTTTCGTGATTCGCGATTCGTTTCGTGATTCGTGATGTGTTTCTCCGAAATCTGCACTTGAGGGCTCGCAAAAAAGTGCTGCACATGCCACGAAATCTGCACTGGAGAGTTCACAAAGTGCTGCCCCTGCCACGAAATCTGCACTTCAGAGACGAAATCTGCACTTCAGAGTTCAGCAAATGCTCACGAAATCTGCACTTCAGAGTTCAGAAAATGCTGCCCCTACCACGAAATCTGCACTTGAGAGCTCACAAAGTGCTGCACCTGCCACGAAATCTGCACTTCAGAGTTCACAAAATGCTGCCCCTGCCACGAAATCTGCACTTGAGGGCTCACAAAGCGCTGCACCTGCCACGAAATCTGCACTTTAGGGTCAACCAAGTGCTGCCCCTGCCACGAAATCTGCACTTCAGGGTTCACAAAGTGCTGTACCTGCCACGAAATCCCTGACCCTGAGCGTGATTCGTGATTCGTGATTCATTATTCGCGCTCCGTCCCTCTAACCTTGAGACCCCTGACCCTGAGCGTGATTCGTGATTCGTCGTCTGTCCCTCTATCCTTTAGACCCCTGACCCCGAGCGTGATTCGTGATTCGTGATTCGTCATTCGTGATTCGTCGTCTGTCCCTCTAACCTTGAGACCCCTGACCCTGAGCGTGATTCGTGCTTCGTGATTCGTGATTCACGATCCTGTCTTGGAGCTTCTCCGGATCACGTCTCGAAGGATGTGAAGGGCGAGGGAGTCGCGGGGGAGTCGCGGAGGTGAAGTTGGTGGTGAATTGCACCAACGATCGGGAAGTTCCGTGCTTCCACGAGTCCAAAGGCGTCCCGGCTCCGGAACGGCTGAGCTGTGGCGACTGCGGGGTGAGTGTTTGAGCAGGTTTGAGCACGTTCGTGGTCAGGAAAAGCACATGTCAATGCTTTAGAGGTGTCGTGGACACCAATGTTTTGCTTTGAATTGGAAGGGCTTCGTCCGCCCCGTTGGCCCTTCATGCGGTGCTCCCCCCTTCGGCTAGCGCTGCGCGCCGACTGCGCCGCTCGTGATCGTCGACGGCAGCGACGGCGCCGCGAATCGGGTTTTCCCCCAACGAAAGGCGTCCTTGGGCGATGGGTATCTACCAGGACACCCGCCCAGGGCAAGGACGCTACGTTCGGGGCTCTTGGCCTTACTACTGGAAGCGATCGGACGCTACTTACTCGGGACACCCGGGCCAGTGGTGTTTGTTGATAGTCCCTTGGAGGTGATTCGGGGTGACCGTGGGTATCCGTGGGTCCTGGTATGGGTCATCACTGGGGGGCCGCAAACCATTGACCTCAGGTCCAGCCAGGGTGAGAGGCCGGCAACCAACACCCCAGCGCGAAACGGGTCTCCGGTCCTTTGAGCTGAGGCCTGAAGTATGTGCGGATTGCCGTGAATGACAATGAAAGCGCTGACCTTCTGCCATACCTGGATGGAGACACGGTCTGAATGTGCACGGTCTGAGGTGATATCTGGTGAGTTTGGAAGTCAGGTGATGGTGATTTTCCGACGAAACATTAAACCCAATAGATGTTAGATGTCTCAATATCTGCATGGAGTGGTTCGTGGAGAATACTTGCATGTCTAGGCTACTGGTGGCAGCCCACCTCAAAGATCCTCAAAGCACATCCAATCCTCGTGGCCTGATACATCAGATTTTGGGTTTGCTGCAGATGCAGATTGGGACGCGAATGGGTCAGCAGCCGAAACGTGAATCTCTCCAGGAGCTTCCGATGCCATTGCTGAAGTCTTGCGCCGTGGAGAGAATGTGCTGGTGCACTGCCACCAGGGTGTCAGCCGCTCGGCCACCGTGGTGGCCGCTTTTCTCTTGAAGCTTGGCGCTGCATCCCCGCGGTCCCCGAGGGAGGTGGTCGCGTGGCTCAAGACGCAGCGAGCGCAGGTCGAGCCGAATCTGGGTTTCCGCGCGCAGCTGGAGATCTATGCCGACCAACTGCGGGCCAAGGCGCGGCCCTCCACCAGCAGTGAGGGCACTCCTCCGTGCGTGGGGGAGGAGTGGTGTCGCAGGTCGCTGGCGCTCTATGCAGTTGGTGGTGCGAAGGCATTCGAGGGGTGCAGAGAGTGCAGAGAGGCCAATGAGATGATTCGTTGGGGCTTGGACTTTGTTCTGGGGCGAGGGCTCAATGCGAGCGATGTGCGTTGGTTGGGAGCCTTGCTGGAAAGCTTGAAGCTTTCAAAGCCCTTGGAGCTGCTGCGGGAGGAGCTTGCTTCCCAGTGGTTTCACGAGTGTTGGGGGCCTGACGTGTCACGTGCCGCATTGGAGGAGATGCGCACCTCGCTCCAGCAGCAGGTGGGTGTGTGACAAGTCCATCCGAGGCTTCCAGGCTTCTGTGCCACCTGGGCTCCAGTCCAGTGGGCCAGGGCCAGGCCTGTTGAGGCCGAGGCCACTTGAGAGTGCAGCGCACCCCTCAGGGCCAGGGCCTTTCGCTCGACCACGCGCGGAGTGAAACGCGCCGTCGATGTACAGCCGACGCGAGGCGCGGAGTCCGGCGCTGTGGATGTACAGCGAGCGACGCGACCCTTCGGGAAAAGACTTGAACCTGGCCCGGGCCAGGGGGGTGGTTGGCAATGTGAAGACGGTGAGGACGGTGGACGATTGATGAGTGAGTTCGGGTTTACGGTGAGATGCAGCATTGGTAGATGTGACTTCACTTGGTCAATGCTCCTAGATGGTCAAATTGATCGAAAGGAGTGGGATTTGGCGTGCACGCAGTGGTGTGGCGCTACCTCAACGATGTCGGTGGGTGGGTTATGTGCCAGCATCTCTGATTTTCAGATTTGCAGTGGAGCTTTCTTAGATGCTCCGCGGCAGCTCATGACTATTGTCATGTCATGTCAGATTGTTCGTGATCTTTCACGCATGCATCCAGATCGACAATCCTTGTAGGTGCATCACTGTGGACTTGTGGGATTTTGGATGCCTCGAGTATTTGCAAGTTTTACATGTCAACAACCAAGAGCAAAACACCTTTTCTCACGGGCATAGGGCATGTTCATGACGTGGACCTGAACAATACCCTCCCCCAAACAATGGAAGTGGACCACCCCCAGGCCATGGTATTATTCGGATTTCATGGTCCGAAACCAGAAGCCATGCCATCCACGTAATGGCATTTCCCCTACTGTACAGGTAAAGGACCTCATTTCATGAGGTCAAGGACTCCAAGGACCAGGTTTTAATATGTTTTAATTGGTCCCACTGGACTGGCAGGGGATTTCTTTGCTTCAACAACTGGCGCCGTTGCCGTTGCGGTCCAGGGTTGCATGTGCCGGGTATTGCCGGGTGGGGGTGGCAATTCCGTACTAAACATAGCCTTGGAGTGCCAGGGTATTACGCCTCGTCACCGGTCCAGTTACCAAACAATTTTGCATACCAGGAGTGGTTTCATCTGTCATGTGCGGGGCAGTCCTCCGCACCAAGACGCCGGCAACGCACACTGGGGAAGGACCGTGTCGGACAGTGTCACCGCAAGGGCCAATCTTTCGACCTTTGCAAAGAATCTCTTGACGACCGGTGGTGGGTTTCGCCTTGGAGTCAGTTTCAGTACTAAGGGTGTGATACGATTCGGATAGGATGCCCGAACCTCAATGATCCAAGCAGATGTGTGGCCAGACTTCCTTCCTCGCAGCCACGCATGGCCTGTGAGCACCTGCTGCGCACGCACGTGGGCTGTGGGAAAGGCCTTTGCCTTGACTCATGGCAGGCCGGGTTCAATGGCATTAGCCCAGGGCAGGTACGGCGATTATGTTGTTCCAGCTGCAATTTGTCGTCAGCCTCTCTTCAACAAGTCAGGAGTCAAGATTGTCTGTGCTGTCCATCATGTTGCTTCCAAGCAAAGGACATCCACTCCGGTTGCCTATCACAGAGCGCCAATACTATACTGTTAAACAAATATGTTTGGGCAGGGCGCAGTACTGCACGGCGACTGGTGTTTTTATGGTGGTTGAAAACATCTCCCTAGTGACTGGCCCGCATTTTCTGAAGCTCCACTAACTACTTCTTCTTCCATGCCGAGAGCAGCGCATTCAGCTTTTTGCGAAGGGTGGCCATGGAAGTGACGTGGCGCCAAACCCCAGTGCCACACTCTCTGTAGGTCTCACGTGCTGAGCACCACCACGTGATGCGGAAAGCCAGCCTTGTCGTTTGTGGTTCTCCCAGGTATCACACCAAGCCCCCTCGAAACACATTTCAAACCAAAGAGCATCCCGAAACCAATCCGGGATCCCGCACCCGATCCAACGATCGACGTGTTTCGGAGGATTGCCCCCAAGACGACGTGGACAAGTCCAGAAGTGAATCAACCCACCACATTCGCCTCAAACAGTCCTAGCAGCCGCTCGGGGCCACTCAAACCACACAGCCTTCCCGAGACCAGCGAATTAGTCACTATCAGAGACAAGGACCACACTTCTACAAAACTTAGGCAACGCATTGTGAATCTTGAGTGAACCAATGGCCGCGGCGACGAACGAAAAGATGCCCGGCGACACCCCCCCCAACCATAAGAATGCGACACAACTGCTCGTCATGAACAACGGTAAACCACGAAAACCCTACAACAGCACCAGGCGCCCCATGTAGAGGGTGCCGACGAATTATTCCACAGATCTCACTGCCTCATGTGCTGAATCCTTGAGGTCGCCAAGATGCTGTAACCCCTGTAATCCCTCCAAAAACATTCACCCTAGCTTTTGGATGGACGCCTCTTCCTCCGGCCCCACCATTACCGGAGTGTCCATGCGTGGACCCGCATCGCAGTCCGGGTTCGGCAGCTCTGAGGCCTCGAGGACCGGAGCCCGGCGGAGGCCTTCGCCTGGCTGCTGGCGCCGCTGACGGAGCAGCAGTTCTTCGAGCGCCACTGGGTGCCGCGGGGCGGGGACGGCGGTAAGTCATGGGCGGCCGGGGGCGGCTTAACGGGCGAGTTGGTTATGGAATGGTATGGATGTCTATATGCGCACAACGTTTCAGAAGTGGTCAGTCTAGGCCATGTAATTGCCTTCCCTCGCAGTAGCTGGCTGAGACAGCAGCAGACTCGCTCATGCCCCTCCACCCCTTTCCACAAATGCCAGGGGGTAGATCATGCTAGATCCCCCCATGCTAAACACAAGGCCCACAGACCAAATTCGGAGGTGTGTTTCAGATTGGAAGATTGGAGCCGGTCACACGGAAGTAACATGAAACCTCACCCAAAACCTCACCCCAAACACCGCATCTCTTGCAAACCCGACCGATCCACCAGTTCCGATCGACCTCCGACCCGGTCCGGTGACGCTCCGAGCCACGCTTTCACCGCTAAAGGTGGACGTGGTGACCGGTGCGAAGCCCGCAATGACCAAGAAGTGGTGACCGGTGACCAAGCCCTGAGAGGCAACACAAGAGGTCCAAGAAGGCCAAGGTCCTCAATAGACCGGAGTGTTTCTTTTTCTTCCTCATTTTTCATCATTTCTTCCAGGACCCCGGCGGTTTGCAGGTTCCAACATTGGTGCTTTCCCAGTGTCACGTGCCGACGCGCGCGCAGGAGAAGTGCCCACTGCACTTACGAGGCGCCGATGCTGGCCGCTTTCGTGGGTTGTTGTCACAGCGGGTCATCGAGAGCCGGTTGGCTTCCAAGCCTGGCTTGATCTACGGGACGCTTGGATGGGCCCATGGGTTGGGAAGACGAGGACGATGATCACTTTAGGCTAGGGACAGGGAGGGAGGTCCATGGGACAGGGACAGGACATGTCTCTTACATGTCCAGACGGCTGTGTCTCGAAGTATCAACCCCAAAAAATAGAAGTGGAGGTGAAATCTGTTGGATGAGGGGCACTACCTCACTGAGCTTTTTTTCGTTGCACGCAGGTTTTCCTCCCGGTCCAACTCATCCACAAGTGGTCCCTCCCAAAACCAATGGAAAAGCGGACCTTGTTCAATTAGCCGCGCCGTCAACTTCGTAACACTTTCTGGTTGCTAAAGGCTGTTAAAGGGCTCCAGCAGTTCTTAAGGACTCCAGCAGTTCTTAATCTATTTCCTCATCATGTGCAGAGTGCATGTGATTTTGCTACTTGCAAGCGAGCGTTTGGGATTTCCAAACCGAGGAAAGACATCAATCTGGCTAGGTGGGAGCCGTTGTTCCCTACTGGGGGGCAGAGGGGGGCATTGCTTCCAGATCGGTGGGTAGGCCAAGGCGGAAATGGGCCTATCAGTTACCTCTGAGTAAGAGAAGCTCATGATGACTCATGTAAGTCATGTGAAGGTCGGGTGAGTTCCGCACCAAGCCTACCAGTTGGATTCAGGTCCATGGGGGCCCAGGGCCCACCGACTCCCAACTCATCATTCTTTGTCCTGACCTGACCCTTCACCCCTTGTCTCGTCCCTTGAGCCCGGCAGATGCGGAGCAAATGGCGAGCAGATCATGTGTAACGGCACCGGCCGCGCTGGTGCCGAGGCAGTGCAGAAGAAGGCGGGCGCACCGGCCGCGCGTGGCTCTCGAAGCGTTGGGCATGTTTGTGAGCTTTCCATCGCATGAATGCCTTCGCGCCAGGTGCGTGAAGGCTGTTCGGTGCAGGTCGTGCACCCGCAGCGATTTGGCAGTGAGGTGGCGTGTTTGTTGTCAAAGCTGGAGGCCGGGTGAGAGCCGCCGTGGAACTACGTGTGGTGACATGGAACGGAGCTTCTATACCGGTGCAACAACTACCAACATGTCTGGTTTTTGGGCGGACAATTTGGTGAAGAGGGCGGGACATGATTGCACAGTTGGAAGATCTAGGTCCTCTTAGGTCTGTTATTGTCCGCGGCAGCTGATGTGGGTCAGCACTCGCCCCTTCGGCCCTTTGGCCCTGTGCCCCCGTGCTGGCCCCCATGACTTCGTCTCCTGGGGGGTCAATTGCCTTGAACCCAACACCAAATACGCTGTCCGATCCAAAACCACGGGGGTCAAGTGGGTTCAAGGTAGTCATGACCATCCCTGGCGCCGACACGCTGGCCGACGCGCCGGCCGACGCGCCGCCAGTCGCACTTTGGATGCCTATGGGGCGCGAACAGCTTCCGCACACCACCGGGCGGGAAAGGCTTTAAGGCACACCATGATGAAGTGGAGGTGCCCGACGGACGGGCGGATGGTGCTGGATGGATCTGGATGGTGTGCCTTTGGACATTTCATTGGCTCATCACTTGTTTTGAGAATGAAGTCATGGTGGACCAACCAGGGGTTTGTGGAGAAGACGAGTTTCCCACCCCGCGAGACTGCCACCCGGGACTGCTAAGCACCGCCATTGTTTCTGGTTCACTGAGCAGTCTTGCGGACGTCGCCCAGACGAAGAAACGGAGTTAGTAGTTGCGTGGATGTGGTTTTGACAGTTGCCCATGATCCACACTAAGGGACTAAACACCACCCCTTTGTGACCCCTGGTGTATTCTGCTGCTTGCGCTTGGCTGAGTGACACCGGCACCACCGGGCCACAGGTCTTCATGTTGCAACTGGAGGGCGCCAAGCGTTGGCGCTTGCACCGATGCCCAGAGGGCCCTTTGCCGAGAAGCTACTGCTGGGACTACGAGGGAAAGGATCTAGGCGACCTCAACTGGGACGGCCAGCTCCATGTCGTGGTGCCGAACTTGTAGGGGGGGTGCCCATGACCCACTGGATGGGGCTAAAAACAATCCCTTTTGGTGTTGGATATTTTTCGAAACAGGAGCCCTCTGAATCACAGTGGTTGGGTGCAGGCGGCTCCAGACGTGAAGCCCATGCCTTGGTCGAAGTAGGGTGCTTTATGTTTTCGGCTGCTGGAGCGTTGTTTCACCGGTTCTTTTAAACCGCGTGGAACGCGTGGATGGAAGGGAAGTGCAGCAAGTGCGAGGTAGGATGAGTGTAAAGTGTATGGTTTGATGGCGTGGGTTCGGAAGGCCTACATAGACAGTTCCTCACCCTTTCTCACACCTTCCGCGCCTTCCGCCTTCCGCAGGCGAGCCCTTGATGGAGCTGGTGTTGCAGCCGGGCGATTTGCTCTACCTGCCGCGCGGCACGATCCACCAAGGTGAAGCCGTGGAGGGCCATCCATCTCACCATTTAACCATCTCCACGTACCAAAGGCGGGTCTGGGACGCGGGTCCTCGGTGCCTCGGTTCGGATTTGCGATGGAGGGGTTCCAGGGACATACTCCCCTGCAGATTAACATAGACCCCCAAAACCACAGGGTTGTAGAGGATAATGGCTTTCCACCGGTCAATTCTCAGGTTCCATGTGAGTTTGCGGGAGGGTCTGATGTTTCACGTTTCGCATCACGAAGCAAAGCCCTCTGGGTTTGACCCTGCCCGCCGGAATCATCGTGTCGAACGTTGGGCTTTGAAGTGTCCTCTTCTGAGCCACGAGCTGGGAAGGAACCGTCGCCTGGTGAAGGAAACGTGCGAACGGTCGCTTGGGGTCGCTCGGCGGAGGCACAGCTGGGCGGACTTTCTGGAGAAGGCACTGCCTGAGGCCTTGGCCCGTGCCAGCCAACAGCCAGGCGACAGCCTCTTCCGCGAAGGCTTGCCTTTGCGGTGCTGGTCCTACCTGGGAGAACAGCCACCTAGAGTCCATGGGACGTTTTGTTTTCTTGGAGGTGTGGGTTGGCGAATCGGAATCTTATCCCAGTTTCTTTGAGTTTGGTGGAGGTGTCATGTCATGTCATTTCCA